TCCCAAGGGAAGGCTATACTAAAATCCTTGTGTAGACAGATGCTCCAACAATGAAATGCCACTAGAATGCCTGGCAGCAAAATCAGTCTGAACACACACACACAGCCCATTTGGAATTTTACTGTTGCAGGCCTGTTGACGTGGCAGATAGATAGATGCTGGTCTGTGTGCAAACACAGAGATTGCCTCGTGTATGGAAAAACTGAAAAAGTAATTAAGGATACTTTGAGGAAGAAAAGAAATACTAAGCATTTGGCTGGATTGCACAGAATACTTTTGAATTCCTTAGTAATATACTAGAATGACTGTTTTGTGCCTTCTGGGGTCAAAAAAGAAAAAAGAGAAAAGAGAAAAGAGAAAAGAAAAAAGAGAAAGGAAAAAGGAAAAGGGGGGCAAGAGAAAAGGAAAAATGAAAAAATAAAAAGAAAAAAGAAGAAAAAAGAAAAGAGGAAAAAGAAAAAAGGAAAAATAAAAACGAAAAGAAAAAAGGAAAAAGACAAAAGAAAAAGGAAAAAGGAAAAAAGAGAATGGAAAAAGGAAAAAAGGGGGAAAGGGGGAAATGAAAAAAGAAAAAGGAAAAAAGGAAAAAGGGAAAAAGGGAAAAAAGGAAAAAAGGGGAAAAAAGGAAAAAAGGAAAAAGACAAAGTCAAACTCAGTGAGGGACAAGCATGTGTGTACCATACTCATTAGTGAGGGACTGAGTCTTTACTTGCCTCTCAGCAGTTGAAGAGCTCACACCACTTGTGCTGCTATGGGGCTGATGAGTCCTAAACCCAAACCATCTCATTGGAGCCTGCTGCTCTCCTGCAGCCCATAATGGAGGCAGACATCAAGGTTCCAAGCAGGAAGGATGCCCAGACAATTAGCAAAATGCAGCTACCATTTCTATTGTTTTTATTTTTCACATAAAATAGTTAAAGAATGACATCAGTCAGTACCAAGTGTAGATCAGAAACATCATCAAATCCCACTCTTCCAGCAACACAGAAACTCTCAAAAATTCAGCTGGCTGAGATATGGCTTGGAAGAGTGCACTCTCAGTAACTGACTCAAAAATCCCACTACTTGCAACTTCAGGGATTATTTTTCATATAATATCCACCTATTCGCTAGCTAAATCTAACCCTGCTTATTTTATGACTGCATCCAGAGATGGCTTTTCTCCAGACAGCTTCTGTGGCCTACTTACCACCCCTTTTGTCACTGGTGTGGCTGCTTTGCCTCCACTTCAAAGGTTCATTTTCATGTGCAGGATTATTTTTTTTTTTCCTTTGGTTGCTAAGGGGGAAGCTTTAGCATGGTGGGCAAGGATTTAGTCACGTGTGAGCTAGAAGGAACATTATCCTTAGACATTAATTTGGAAATCAAGTGACAATCGGCTGGGTATGTGTTTATTTTCTATTTCTCGAAAGCTTTTAAAGTACCACAGGATTTTTGCATCCTCTGTAGGAGATCTATTTTTCATCTTCTATACTATTCAACCCCAGAGACAACAAAGAGAATATCATGCTTGTCTCCAGTGTCAGAGCTAAAATTAGTAATTTCACTGCAAATCAGAAAACAAACTAGATTATTATGAAGAACAGCTCTACTCATCAAAAGGTTGTTTCACAACCACCTTTCAGATGTACTAAAGGCAGATGCCTCACTGTGAAGTTAATTCAATAAGCACAGGAAACGTAATTCATTTGGTACATACTGTTTGCTAATCAAAGAGTATTTTTTGGCATCTAAACTGTGCGTGACAGAATGTTAAGCCTGAAAACATATTGTTAGTCCTCCAAGTTTTTCATCAAATCCAAGAAACATATCATGCATGCATGTGAGCGATTTTTCTCATTCAAGTAATGAGGATGAAAACTGTGTCAAAGTTTTGTAATGCTGAGCTGTGATCCTATGAAAAGCTTTTGAGAAATGACTTTTTCTCTTGCATTTCTGCAGGATAGAAAGCTTTAATAAAACTTTATAATTTCTCCTTCTTTCAAATTATTGTCCCACAGAGTATTATCTGTGATGACAGCAGCAAAGACTGTGAGCAAGCATTATCAGTAAAAAACAGTCCTGGTATGTCTTCTACTGAATTCAATCTTAGGAGCATGAAACTGTGGGGGTTTTTCTAATCAAGGTTACAATGGACCTCCCAACTTGGATATCTGCTGTGGGGAACAAAATGAGGAATAACATCACTTCTCCTTCTGAAATGCATCACCTTAGAAGACTGCTCTACTGCAGTTTGAACATGTGGACACCCACAACCACAAGCAGCTGCGATGAAAAGCTATTAAACCAACCACCTTGTGCTGGCTGCAGAGCAATATTTCACTGTGCTCTTTCACAACATGAGCTACAAAGCAGCAGAAAGGAGTATGGATTGCTGCATGGAGTCTGCCTCCAGTTTTCCTGGTCTGACAGATGCTGCAACTGAGAGAAACCATTCTCCCTCTCAGGTTGCCATTGCACTTTGAATTGTAAATAATCTCCTGAGCAACAAACACCTTCAGAGATCAAAACCTGATATGTTTTACTGGATCTGAAAGGACCTAAACTCTGCTCTATTTTCAGAATTAAGTCAATATGTAAATGCAAATGGTCACTGTACAGATGGGGAAAAAAAAAGAAACAACTAAGGGTTTTATTTGAAAATATCAAAGGAATATTTCTTAAATGTAATATTTAATGTTAAATCTGTAAAATCTACTAATTGTGCTGCATCTCTTAATTGCTCATCTATTTATTTTTTAACAGGATTATCATCAAAAGAGGAGTAGTTCTGAGTATAGCTAAAGTTACTTTCAGAGCACTTAACTGAATATACGAACTCAGTTTCTGTGGATTAACACATATTCCAAGCCTGTATCTTCCTGCAGGGTATTTTGGTAATAAGTAGTAGAATTTCAAAAGAAGTTGCCACAACTGGAAGACGAAATGATAGCTTTGGAGATAATTTTAAAGGTCCGTTTCTTTTGCAATGGTTAAGAGTTATACAAAGAAGGAAAAAAGTATTCATGCAGCAGATGTGATTACACTCTTGTGGCTCATGTGAAAAAATCAGTTGCTGTTTGGAAAAAATAACATTTCCAGGTATTCTGGACCAATTATTTCTGACATTTCAAGTTAATTATAATCTCAACATTTGCTGTAGGAAAAGGTATAGTTAGGAGTTCAAAGGCTCATTTCAAAGTCATTCAGAGCTCAGCCAAACATATCCAGAATCCATTTGAACTTTTTATTTTTCTAAACAGCTTCAAGGAAGCACATTATGACCCAGAGAAGAAGAAAAGGTTTTTTAATGGCTATCTCATTGATGATGAAGAGGGACAGTTTACAAGGGCATGTATTGATAGGACAATGGGGAATGGGTTTAAACTAAAAGAGGGTAGATTTAGATTAGATGTTAGGAAGAAATTCTTCCCGGTGAGGGTGGTGAGGCACTGGAACAGGTTGCCCAGAGAAGCTGTGGAGGCCCCATCCCTGGAAGTGTTCAAGGCCAGGTTGGATGGGGCTTTGGGCAACCTGGTCTAGTGGAGTGTGTCCCTGCCCATGGCAGGGGGTTGGAATTCGATGATCTTTGAGGTCCCTTCCAACCCAAACCCTTCTGTGATTCTATGTAACAAGTTTTAAGAAGAACCTGGTAGTTTCTTGACTGTGATATTTCATGTTCTAAAGAACACTAGAAAGATGTTTGCCAGGGAAAACAAATCCCTGAACAACAAAGTAAGCGTTTAACAGTAAAATCCATCAACAAAATAGTACTTCAGCAGAGAGAAGTGCTCTTCAGACTCACCAGAAAGGGAGATCCCCAATCCAAGGGAGCCTACCAAAACATGTGGAAGATACACAAACAGTAGCAAGTGCAGTTGCACAAGCTTATAAAACCTTCTGTGTCACTGTTTTACCATTTCAGGTAAAGTTTTTCATTGTTTTTTCAAGTTAACAGCCGCTTTGGAAAGCTGCCATAAAAATGGCTCAACCTTTCTGAAAAATAAGGCATATTTTCTTTGCAGAGTGTAGTGTCACAGGTACTGCATCATTCATCTCAAAGAAGGGGACAGTGTTCCCAATAGACCTTTCTGGCACAGGCACATCCATGCAGAGAGCAGAACATTAGCAGGCTATTGATCCCCACTACAAATTTTTTACACACTGCAACCCTTTTTTTTTTTTTTTTCCCCAGAAAAAAATTAGCTCTTGTGTCTTGGCATTACATTTCAGGTTCCCTACCAAGTTGTCAAGAACATAGTCACACATATATGCCTGAAAATTGGCTGTGATTTATCAAAGTCAGAATGGTATAAATAATGCATGTCTTGCACAGATGGCTTTTTTTGTAACGTAACAACTAATAGCCTGTCAACACAGTATTCCATGTATACAACAGTGGTCTGCAGTCTCTTCCCTGTATGACAAATGAAGGCCTGTTAGGAGGCAAATTCACTCTAATGGTGTCCTGATGTAATGTGTGATGGTATGCAGAGAGAAAAGCCACTCATCTTGAAGGTTTGTAAAGGTAGTTAAGGATGCAAATTCTGCACTGTCAGGCTTTGCTGATGAGCCAAAATGAAGAAAAAATTATTTACCCAATACCTGAAGCCTGATGCATGAATAAAAACCTAAATGATCTAGATCATTCAGGTATATTTGTCCACATCCAGTAAGGAAATCCGAGGCAAGATGTTCATTGCTCGTGGTAAGAAACTACATTTGAAAAGTAAAACAAATGGGAAAACCCTGCATTCAGGAAAAAAAAAAAAAAAAGAAAAAAAGCTAAGCCAATCCCATAAGAACTCATTAGGCTTTAGCACTAGGTTTTCTTTCACAACACAAAAGCTTCTCCTTCAATGTGTCCCTCTTTAAATATCTTAGGATTATGCCCAAGTTCTGATTAACCCACAGTAGCATGGAAGAAACATATCTGCTGGAGTTTCTTTAAAAGGCATTAGAAAAGCAACATTACCAACACACACAATCAGCACAGTCAGCACACGTAACCCACCAGAAACTTACCTTTCCGTGATAGTTTCTCTGAGACCACTAGCAACCCCCTTCACCACTGTACTAGCCTTTGGCGTCAGCACTACTTGAGATATAAAAAAGGAGCCCTTCTTTCTTCTTTCAGTGATTGATGCCTGGAGGAATTGAATCAGTTTTTCTGGATCTGTTGTGTTGGCCCAAGGAGCTGGCATCATCTGGCCTGGCCAAAGAAATGGTACCTCGAGAGCCACTGGACTGTGGTAGAACACTAGCACTTGGTGTTCCTTTTCCCACAGGTACTGGAGGCTGACTTCATGGGCAAATATAGCAGGACACATTTTGTTTCCATAGGTGTCTTTGAGCATTTGGACAAGCTTTTCATGATGGTATTTCTGCATCCCGTAGAAGTGATTGAAGTCCAAGAAGACTGCTTCTTTTGGGTGGTCAGTGAGAAATCCATTGATCTCTTCCAGACCTTCCTTGACTTTGGCACTGAATAAACCATGAGCAAAGTAGAGTTCGTTGTCTGGGTCTCTGGGCTTGGTGGAAATTCGAAGATCAAAATACCTTATACCTGCCTCCAGCTGGCTGGTGAAGTTCATGGTCTGTGTAGCCAACCACTTCCTCATCAGCTTTTTAGCCACAGTCCCAAAAACAGACACAAAATTCTGGACCGTCTCTGGCTGTTCAGGCCCAACTGGAGAGGCTTCATCGATGTAGAAGCTAAATGAGTCATGAGACCCTAAAAATACAACAGAGGAAAATGATCAGTATTGTATTCATATATTAAAAGTCACTAGTGATTCTTTCTTAATAAACATAATCTTCTGACCTGTACCAACACTCACCACAGACTCCTCCCCTCTCCTTTTTCTCCGTACACTACATTTGTGTAGCACCATTTTACAAGCACCTTGCAGGGACTTGAAGGAAAAGCTTGCACTGCTTGTCTGGACACTCCCTCACTCTCTTCTAGCTCTTACTTACGCCCTCAAGCTCACTGAAGTGAGCAAGCTCTTAACATCAAAGCAATCCTGTGTAACTCCAGCAAAGCTCGTCACATAATAAATCCCTAGAGCCAACGAGAAGAGGAGAGTCTGGTCCTGCACACTGAATTGTGCATCATCTACTTTGCAGAACCAAAGAAAAACAAAAACAAACCAACAACATGCCCCACACACCTTTACAGCCAGCTAAAATAAGAGCTGAAAAATGCCAAGGACATGTAGCCTTTCTGACCTTTATTTCAAGTCTCATCTGGTCATCAGTAAGGTTACTGAATGTTGTTTTCCTTCTCAAATTTACCTCTAAAATTCTTTGCTTTCCTCTGCTACATAAGTACAACAGATGATAGAGCCAAGGATAAAATACAGCAACTCCACTGCATGCTCTTGACAAAAGTGAGACAAACTGCTTAACATGCCTATGTACAGAAGTTAATAATTTTCCACAATTTAACAAAGTTGAATACAAATATGTAAGAGACTTGGCTATGCAAATTCTCTCCATCTTAAGGTACGTCCATTAAAAAACCCAACCACAAAACAAAAACCCAACAATATTCTTTGCTCAGCATTTAGACATTTACATGAGAACAGCTGATAAAACTAAGGACATCCACAAACACATGATCATTCTTCTGCAAAGGACTTTGTCTTGCTTTATGGAGAGATGAGCTGATCCTGAGGATGCTCATCACTCTTGTCTACCACCAGCCTTCTGAATACCTGGTGGTGAAATCTGGCAGCTTATACAGAAATATCGTCCAGCTGCAGGCAGAGCTGCACTCCTGCTGTCCCAGCCAGAGAGGATAGTTCTGGTCAGACTCACTGCAGCAAGCAGGTCTGCTCCTCAGCGTAGTCACACCATTTGCAAAAGTCCTTCAAGGTCAGCAGGACTTGTATTTCTGAAATGGAGTGTAGCACTAGGCCCTCAGACATCCAAATCCTAGCATCAAAATGAGTTCAGAGCACAAGTCTTGCCTGCTACTGATGCTTTTGTAGGCGCTTTTCCAAATTACTTTCCAAAGCACACACGCTGTGGCAAATAAGTATCACATTAATGAAATCCTGCTAGTCAGTCATTTCTGATGGTGATGCTATTTTAACTGAACTGGAACAAACCCTATAAACTGAAGTGACAGCTATAACATTTTCTTCTTTAACAATAAATAGAGTCACGACAAATCATCTTAAACTCTGGCTTGGATTTTGTTTTGTTTAATCTGAGATGTCTTAAAATTTTGTACACCCCTGCTTTTCATGGTTGTCTTTTTGAACTGCATTTTACTTTAAATATTAGATAAATTTTCCATTTTGATTAAGCTTTCTACTGCTAAGTGTTGAAGTGATCGCATATTCCTTGCAGAACCTCATTAGATCATGGAGTATCTGGTTACACACTGATATCCCAGGGGACCGGATCTGCATACAGAATTTTAATGGGTAAAACAAATGATTAGAGCAGTGACTTGTGTTTCAACAGTATTACAGGGAAAATCAATGAGATACATTAAATGTTCTGCCCAATGTAACCTGCACTAATCTAGAAATCAAAGTAAATCCAGTCTTGTTCAAAACAAGGTATAGCTACTGATACTAGCAAGGGATAGATCTTGCAAACCTTCGCTTTATCCACTGAAGTCCCTTTTATTTCAGTAGGACTTTATGTGAGAATAAGTACACCTATAAACATGATCAAATGATTGCAGGAGTAGGCTCAAAATGGTATTAAGATCAATTAAAACATTGGTCCTTTGGTGTCTGATATACAACCACTGACAACCCGAAGTTGCAGGAGAGGCAGCTAAACTTGACCACCACAGCCAACACACAACACAGTGCAAAACAGTTCTTAAAACTACTTAAGTTGAGAGAGGCAGCGCAGTTCTCATGGCAGAAAATTAAAATGAACACCTTGTCAGCAGGTAGCTTTTAGCTATCAGTAATGCAAAACACAGAGAAGAGTGTAGAAGGTGGGGGAAACACCACAGTAAGAAGTGATTGAACATTACAAAGGACAGTTTAGAAAAATATTTTTCCTTAACTAAGGTCTTCATGCACATATTTGAGCCTAAAAATGGGGATTCCTATGTATAAGGAACAGAGAAAAGCACACAGTACGCTGAGAACCTCCATGTTTTGTAACCCAACAAGGAGCCCCTATTAAATACTACAAAAAGAAAATAAGTTTTGACTTAATTTGCTTGACACTGAATAAAGCCAATGTCAGCTATTCAAGAGTATGTAAGGATTCCTCCTGACTGAAAAATACAAGTGTTTTGTCTTTCCACATGTATAAGTAATTTGAACAGGTCATTTAAATATTTATTTTCACCATGCACTCATCTACATTTCCTTTTGCCTTCATCCTGCCCTGTTGTCCTAACCAGCTTACTCATATAACTCGGGGAAAATCAAAAACCTTATACTTAGCAAGGCAAATCAAAGTATGATCTTTTCCACTGTCATGCCCCAAATCACTATGTTCCTGGTAATGGGAGAATCCTGTATGAACATACACTTGGTTTTAGCAACCAGGTTTCCTTCCAACTTTGCTTTGGTGCATGGGGACATTTCCATCCTACTTTGCCACTCAGAAGTGGACTTGCACATTCTCTGTATCACCAAATCTCAGCTCCCATAAAGACAGGATGCAGGGTACATTCAGAAATACTGATGCATGATGCCTGCAATCTTTGGAAGACAGCAGTGCTTGCAAATCAGCTATCTTTAGTACAATAGGGCAGGGGACACACTGACCTGATATATGGGGCAGTCTCTACCACAGAAACGTCACAGTCTGGGACATGGGGAGGCAAAAGAGAGGGGAAATAACTCATCCCAAGTTACACAGGCAGGAGGAGTAAACAGATATTCCTTTTGTGTGCAAACATTTTCTCACCAGTTTACTAAGTGTCTAGCACTTTCTTAAAATAGTGCATGCTGTTTTCCTACTGTTTCAACACTACAACATATCATTGATCCAAGGAGTCAAGGATGAAGGTTGGTGGATCAGGATCATGGGGGCAGAGAACAAGGCATAAACATGGTGTGTATACGCTACAGACTGCTCAGTCAAGAAAAGAAAGCAAACAAAGCCTTCTCTAAACAATTGGAAGAAACCTCACAGTTACAGCGCTTGTTTTCATGGGGAACTAAGAGACATGTGCTAGGAGAGCAGAATAGCAGGGCTCAGGCAATCTAGAGAGCAAAGACTTTTCTTCTGCAGGCACTCCTTTAAGTAGACAAAGTGCATTGCTGGATGTGGTACAAATTACGGAAGAAATGGCTAGGAACATGAAGACTGACAGCGGTCTTAGCCAGAGTGACTATGAAGTGACAGAAGAATTTAAAATACTGAGGAAAGTGAGGAAGGCAAATAACTGAATAAAGATCCTGGATTTCAGAGCAGCAGCTTTAGCTTGTTCAGGAAACTGGTAATTGGTAGTCTGTGGGAGAAGTACCTTAAATGCCAAGGGGCTCAGGAGAAATGGTTGAAATTGAAAGACAACCTCTCTAAAGCACATAACAATCCACCCGATCATGCAAGAAAATAAGGAAGTAAGGGAGAAAGCAAGTTTGGCTGAATGGATAACTGCTGAGTGAGCTCAAACTTAAAAAGCCATGTACAGAGGGTGTAAACAGCAACAGCCCCCCTGGAAGAAATAGAGAAGGAATGTGAAGAGACAGCAAAGAATTCACAGACATGACAGACGTCATCTACCTTGACTTGTGCAAAGCATTCCACACTGTCCCGCACAACATCCTTGTCTCTAAATTGGAGAGACGTGGATTCAATGGATGGACCACTCGGTGGATAAGGTATTGTTTGGAGGGTCACACTCAAAGAGTTGTGGTCAACAGCTCAATGTCCAAGTGGAGATCAGTAATGAGTAGCGTTCCTCAGGGGTCGGTACTGGGACCGGCACTGTTTAACATATTGTCAGCGACATGGACATATTGCTGACATATTGTCCACAGGATCAAGTGTCAGCCAGCAAGTGTCACTCAGCAAGTTTGCCAACGACACCAAGTTGTGTGCTGTGGTTGATACGCTGGAGGGGAGATGCTATCCAGAGGAACCTTGACAGGCCTGAGAGGTGGGCCCGTACAAACCACATGAAGTTCAACAAGGCCAAGTGCAAGGTCCTGCACATGGGTCGGCGCAATCCCAAGCACAACGACAGGCTGGGCAGAGAATGGATTGAAAGCAGCCCTGAGGAGAAGGACTTGGGGGTCCTGATTGATGAAAAGCTCAGCATGAGCCAGCAATGTGCTCTTGCACCCCAGAAAGCAAACTGTGTCCTGGGCTGCATCAAAAGCAGTGTGACCAGCAGGTCAAAGGAGGTGATTCTGCCCCTCTGCTCTCATGAGACCCCACCTGGAGTACTGCATCCAGCTCTGGTGTCCCCAGTACAAGACAAGACATGGTGCTGTTGGAATGAGTCCAGAGGAGGGCCACGAGGATGATCAGAGGGCTGGAGCACCTCTCCTGTGAGGACAGGCTGAGAGATTTGAGGTTGTTCAGGCTGGAGAAGAGAAGGCTCTGGGGAGACCTAATTGCGGCCTTCCAGTACCTGCAGGGGCCTACAGGAAAGCTGGAGAGGGACTGTTCACAAGGGCATGGAGTGATAGGACAAGGAGTAATGGGTTTAAAGTGAAAGAAGGTCGATTTAGATTAGATGTTAGGAAGAAATTCTTTACTGTGAGGGTGGTGAGGCACTGCAACAGGTTGCCCAGA